ATCCCCCCCTCTTTCATAAACACAATCTACAAACTTTTACTTTCACCTCACCCCCAACCCGTTCTCCCTTCACCTCTCCCCCACCCCTACAACCCCACACCCCACCTCAACACCCCACAAACCCCCACACCCAAACCAAGGACGACGCCAATGTCTACCTCGTGGGTTGGTCAAACGGAGCCAAGGCGCCCTTCTACTACCAGGCAGTGTCCAACCTACGCGTGGTGGCTGCAGAGGTCAAGGCCATCCTGACCCAGTTTGTGGCTCAAGGTCTCCGGCTGGACGATGTACACGTCATGGGCATGTCCCTGGGAGCTCACCTGGTCGGGGAGGTGGGCAGACTGACCGCTGGTCAAATTGGGAGGATTACTGGTGCGTTTTGTTTATTTGTGGGTTTGATTGTTTGTTGTTTGGTTGGTTGGTTGGTTTTGTTTGTATGTTCGTTCGTTTGTTTGTTTATTTGTGTTATAAATCATTGTTCCTCCAAACAGAGACCGTTTCATGGATCCTGGAGAGGAGAGAGGAGCAGCTATAGCATTGGAATGTGCTGCCTGCAATGATGCCTATTCTCAATGTTTTGGCATAGCGGGGTGACTTCTTAGCGCGTTGCCACTCATTCTATTTTATTACTTTCATACATGTGGATTGAAAACTGGTGAACACATGGAATAATAATAATATCTGTATCAAGAGGCTAGCCCAGGACAGGGAAATGTGGAAAGTGTTTGTTTGTGGCCAATACCTTCATCCAGGGCAATGATGATGATGATGGTTGGTGGGGGGGGGGGGGGATGTAGTAACTCTGATTTTCAGAGAAAATCAAACATTCCCAATGAAAAGTTGCCGACCTCAAAAGCATCACTATATTGGGCTTCGCAAACTTTTGAATCGTTTGATTTAGATATATCTATTTTTGTACCTTCTACTTTGGCAAAGGTCGTTTTTTTTTTTCTTGTATCAATTACTTCTGGGACCATGCCATGCTTATATATCAGTTATCATAGTACAACCTTGCTGAACGCCGTTAAAAATTTAACTCAAGCCAGTCTGATTTTGACCAAGCCAATAATTTGTTACTAAAATAAATGACCAGCATTGAAAAACGCCAACTGCTTACAGCTGAAAACAGTACATGTATAACACTGCCATCAAGATAGGTGGCCATCTTACACAGTGTCTTTATATTATGGAAAAAATACGCAAGAGAGGAATACCAGGAACAACCGTTTGTAGAACAGGTGGTCGTTAGGGCGGGTTCAACTGTTGGCCCTGTCTACTTTTAATAGTTTAAGAAAGCATATGACAGATAATTTCTAAATTAAAATGGTCATTTGCATTTTTAATACTTCCAGAAAGCGTTTGACGGATACTATTACTATCTGAATGGTCGTTCTCAGGAATGGACCCCGCCTCGCCCGGCTTTGAAGGTCTGAACGTTGACGTGAGACTGGACAAAAGTGACGCCAAATTTGTTGACGTCATTCACACAGATGGCGAAAAGGGCGGTGCTGACGATGGTGTCTGGTGCGTGAGTGTGTTTGTTCGTCTGTTGTTAGAAACGGATGAGTTCACTTGGTGCGGTAGGTGGGCACAGCCTGTTAGTGGGTGGGTCAGAAGGTGAGGGGGTTTGTTTGGGGAGGGGGGAGTTGTTTATTTGTTTTCGTTTTGTTCTGTTTTGT